AATAATATCTCTAAAATTTTTTCTCTTGGAATAGTCTGCTAAATAACCAGATGGGACTGCGAACAGTGCAGCTCCAAAAGTTGTAGCTAATTGAGTCAATTATTGTTTTTGGAGTTGCCCCCATTGTTTAACTGCGAGATTACAGAAATAAATTAGCAGTTTCCTAAAATGAACAAATGTCAAATAGTATTTACAGTATCGGAGAGAGGCATTTGTTGAGGCAAATTAAAAAGGCGAAGTCCATAGTAAACCACTAGCCTGAAATAATTATTGCGCTACCCTTTTCTCTACATTTATTGGACAAACTTGGCCTTTTCTATGGCTATTGAATATCAATTTAATTTTGGGTTGATAAATGTTCAGAGATAGCTTCAAATAAAATGGAAGCGGTATTGACAGATCAGTACAGTATGAAAATAAATAAAAGTAAAACTAAAATACTGATATGCAAGGGAAGAAAAAGTAGGGAAAGAGCGAATCTAAAGATAGGAGACGAAAAATTAGAAGGAGTGGCTGATTTTAGATACCTAGGAAGTCAGATAAGTGAGGATGGAAGGAGTAGCAGGGATATAAAGTAGAGGATAGCGCAGGGTCGTGTCGCCTTTAATAAAAAGAAGTCACTTCATGCTCGCGAACGGTTAATTTAGAAATTCGAAAAAGGTTGTTAAAGGTGTATGTTTGGAGCACGGCGTTGTACGGGTGCGAAACCTGGACAGTGGGAGCGGCGGAAATGAAAAGGTTAGAAGCGTTCGAAATGTGGTGTTATAGGCGGATGATGAGGATATCGTGGGTAGAAAAGGTTAGAAATGAAGAGGTATTGGAAAGAATAGGAGAACAGAGGACTCTATGGAAGTCAATAAAAAATAGGCGAGATAGGTTGGTAGGAAACCTTCTTAGGCATGAAGGTCTAGTCAGAGACATATTAGAGGCAGAAACAGGAGTTAGGAGTGGTAGAGGTAGACCTAGATTAGATTACTGTTCGCAAATAGTTAAGGATGTGGGTTGTTCTAGTTTTAGGGAAATGCGAAGATTAGCTCAGGATAGGAAAGGGTGGAGGTACGTGTCCAACCAGTCTTGGGACTGATGACCTTATGATGATGATGATGATGATGAAATGTTTAGAGTACGTATGACACACAGATGAATGGTGTTAACGTGCAAGATTTACTACGCATTTCGCCTTCCTAATCTGACCCACAAATAGTTGAACGTTTTCAATATCTTTATAATAGTTTGATTACATTATTTTTATTATAACAAAGCAGTAATTTATATCTTACCTGCAACATATTGTTTCAGTAGACTTTTTTTATTTTAAATTGGTTGTAATTTTCTGGTATAAATGTATGTACAACACTTTTGAAAGTGTTTTTTTTTTCGGTGTGCTAGCTTTGTTTTACGATCGGTGCCACTTTCTTTTTAATTAATTTGCTGACTATCAACGACCGTGATAACACTGGTAGTTATTGTAAGTTAGTTTACACGGTACATTTGAATGGATCTGATTGCGATTTACAATGCCATTCAAAATTGTAATTGCTTATTATTTTCTTCTTTTATAACTACGAACTTTGAAAGATTTAAACGTGTTTTAACAAAATTAAAGGTAAATTTACATATACAGTACAAATAAATATTTGCAATGAATTAAGAACAGAGTATTCCTACAAATAATAATAATTCTATTAAAAGGTCATAACAATTAACAAGGAAATAAGGACGGAATTCGTTTCTTTTGCTTTATTTATTGTTTTACTTCAGCTCAATACGAATTTTTGGTGGTAGATACATCGGATCAATAACGTTTTTTACCATTTACTCTTTTTGTAGCAAATTTCGTTAGAAAAAAGTACACCATTTGATTCTTTATGGAATTTTAACGGCACCTTTTACCTGCTGATTTTTTTGATTGGATGCTTGATAAGCGAGTTATTGGTGATTGAAAATTAAGACTGCTGATCAATCGCAATGCGCTCCCCTTGCTGCAAGTAGTGAACAGTTGCAGTGCGGGTAGCGTCTACTTGCAGCGCCAGTCATATCAACTTGCAACTTGCAGCGAAGTAGGCGCACTATAATCTTCAATTGTCGATTACTCGAAAACTAAGGGTCGTATCGGAAAACGGAAAAGGAAAATATTCCTTAAAATTTCAAGAAGAATGCGGTGGTGTACTCTTCTTTCAGTGTTTTCAAACAGGCTTGGCATAATTTCGAAATAAAAGGGCAAATTAAGTTTTCTAAAGATACTTTTTATTTTTTAAATATAAAATGACTGAAAAATAATACAAATTCATCTATAATATATATGTATTAATTATATTTTCTAATTGCGTTGTTAGCTTTCAGTTCTTAATTCTTCTTGAATCTGTTGTAAGCTTTTTCCTTTTGTTTCGGGCACGCAAAATTTAATAAACACTAAACAGAGGATCATGAAAATTGCAAAAACATAAAAAGTACAGAACGGATTAAATTCCATCAGAAGCGGAAATAGTTTCGTAACGACAAATAGCATTAGCCAATTAGAAGCGATAGTTATCCCGTTTGCAACGCCTTTAATTTCCGACGAAAACAACTCGCTATTCACCAACCATGGGATCGGTCCCATGCCCAACGCAAAAAATACGTAAAACAGAATCATTGAGCCCAATGGTAACCAATTCAAAACGTAACCAAAATCTTTCAGATTGAAGTAAAGACCCATGGCAGCCAAGGTCACTCCGGTACCGCCTGCTGATATGTACAGAAAAGTTTTTCTGTTTAATTTTTCAATCACAAAAACGACAAATAATGACGAAAACGATTGAGTAACGGTAACAATGATCGCACACGTATAAGCGTCCAATGAAACAGCAGTAGCTTGAAAAACGGCTACACAATAAAATGTTAGTGCATCGACTGCACACAACTGTTGGAAAACTGTAAGTCCCACGCATGCTATCAACGCTCTCAATGACGATTTTGAAGTTATCACATCACAAAGTTTTGTCTTTTCTTTTGCTTGCATTTGTTCAATTTCCTCTTGGATGGAGTCCAGTTCTCTTGAAACATCCGCGTCATTTCCTCTATAAAACTTTAACGACTTTTCCGCTTTTCCTCTGTTTTTCTTCAGTAACAAATAGGTGGGGCTTTCGGGGAAGAACAGGAATCCTACACCTAACGCTAAAGATATGCACCCTAGTGATATCGTTAGCGATTTGTAGGGTATGTAAGCTCCTAGAACCGCAGTTATCAGTATTCCAACATAGATAAGCATTTCGAAAAATGTTCCCAGAACACCCCGGAGTTGAATATCGGAAATCTCCCCTATATACATGGGGGCAACCACTGATACTCCTCCTGTGGCCATCCCGGAAAATATTCTCGCCACATATATGTAATAAACATTGGTAGCTAAAGTTACTAAAATGGTGAAAATGATGACCGGGATTACCAGGAGGAGTACGCACGTTTTTCGACCGAAACAATCGGCTAAATAACCCGCGGGAATCGCGGTCACTAAGGCACCAAACGCCAACGTTGCGCCAATCCAGGACGATTCCTCAATTGTTATCTTGATTGGGGAACTGTTAGGTTGTTCCAGTTGGGGAAGCACCGGAGAGGTCCAAGCTAATGATATTCCTAGGGATATTCCCCCAATGCAAACTAAAATTGACGAAACAAAGGAAAAAAGGCAATTATGTTTTGAAAGTCTTAGTATCTATTTGAATCTCTGATTGAAATACTTAGAAATTGTGCCTTTTTATAGATTTCTTTATTGTTTCTTTCATCATCCTATCTCTAGATGGCAGTACTTGTAATATTTCTGTAAAGTCCCGTTTTTGAATTTTATTTGAAGACTGGTGCGTTGAATTTAAATACATAAGCAAGTACAAATGTTGGTTTAGATTAATTTCATTATCCCAGATATTATATAATATCTATTGCAATTTTAACTAATCAAAATTTTGCCAGATGTGAACCCAAACTTTAATTTTTTTAAATAGTAAGTCAGTAAATTACTCACTAGATTGAATTTTATAACTGTATTTAAAAATACAAAGAACTAGGTACTTATAACATATTTGAATGAAAACGAGGAAAGCAAATTTCAAAGACAGTGCATTTAGCGTCTACCTTTTTGTTTAATTGACACGTAACTTAATAAGGAGAATACGTAATGCATAATAAATAAAATTACAATTGTATTCAGAAATATTGTTTTCAATACTCACCAGTAGCTACAAACTGTTTGATTTTTCGTTTCAAAGGAAGTTTCTGCATTTTCACGAATTATTTCACGTAATATAATGCAAAATTATTAATTCTTTTAGGCACCCATGTTCACTACAAATCATAGACTACATTTAAACAAAAGCTGGCAGGTTTCGTGTAAAATTTTTAGTGTAAATTTAACATTTGTTTAATGATAAATTTTTCTGTTTAAATGTGTTCGTATTTTCTATGCTTAAAACAATGCCCGTTTTCTCTAGTTACTTAATCATTTCATGCTAATACAACGAAAGAAATGCAGTAAGTACGTAATCGCATGTTGCATTATTAATTACCCAAACTATACCATACACATGGAGCATATAAAAGTTTTATTTTATAAATAGAAGTAGATAAGTAGTATTTTTCTGTCGAGTGCAAAACGCTAAAAGAGAACTGCACTGTAGATAATAGGTCAGTAAAAATAACGGTATGCAATCATTTTAAAGTCCTATATTTACATATATATTGATATACCCTACACAATACACAAATAACATTAGATACATAAATATAAAAAAAAGTTTTAAACATGTGCAAAGTTTTTCTTGCTGTTTCAAAAGTTTTTTAACAATTTTAAATAATTGTTGTGCTTCACAATCTAGATGTTACGTTATTATTTATTTTTAAGGTAAGGTACAGTGTTAATAAAAATTGCTAATGCTAATAGAAAATTAACTCGGCCTCGTTTACCCCTTACGTTACGCCAATGGTTTCTTGCAGTTATCTATAGTCTGCTTATAAATATCTATGGTGGTTTCCATCATAACCCTAATAAAAATCAGCTGACTTGTCAGAATAATATATTTAAATTTTGATATTTTAAAAGATAAAATGAAGGAAACTAAAAGTGTTTCTGATGATAGTGCCGTGGCAGAGTCTGTTTCATCAGTCCTTTACAAAAACATGGTGTATTTGGAACAGTTTGCCGAATCAATTTTAGGTTATACATCCAAATACAACAGTAATATGAGCATATCTTATGCACCAGAAAATTTAATTGGGAAGCCATCTAAGTTCCCAGATTACGGTGATTTTCCTGAGACATATATGCTCGTAAGTACGAAGCAGAACTTAATGTAATTAAAGTTAAAACCAAGCTGTAGCATTTTTTTTTTATTGAAGAGGTCTTACGGGAAATGGTGGCACAAAAGTGAGGCCACTCAGGCGCATTATATGCCACAGGATGCCGATCCTGTAATTGCGGAAGATTATGTGTCAGTGAAGTGAGCAGTTCAAGTTTGGAGACTGATATTGACATGAAGAATTAAGTTGTAATTATTTACAGGTTTGAATATCCAGTTTTTCCAGATTTGATTATCATTTATGAAACATATAATCCAGGGGCAGTGGTTAGATTGTGGGGTAGGATGACCGGAAACTCTTGGAAGTTGTTATGGGAGGGACCACCTCAGCTTTGTACTCAAACCTCAAGAAAATTTACTGTTAAAATTAAAAAAATTCCAAATACTATCAAGTGAGTTTGTGGATGTTTCTGTAATTTTATAAGATCTAAAAATATAAATTGATTGATATTTGTACTTTTAGTGAAGTACGAATAGAATTAAACCAAAGTTTATTGAAGTATCATACGTCATTGGATGCTATACTTCTGGCAGGATACAGGCCAAAGTCAGCCCTCCAGAGTAGTATAATTACCAAAGATTTATTGAATTCAATTTCACCTAAGAAAACTTTGAAAGAAATTCCACCTAGTTGTAATGATATCTGTGAGAACACTGATTATTTTTCAAGTCTACCGGTAAATTATATTATAAGCGATCTAATTTGATTTGCTTCAATTACTTAATTGCCTTTCTTTCNGAAATATTTTAACAGTAGACCTTTCAGATTGTAAGCAAATTTAGTGAACAGCTCTACAATAGCACTGTAGGACAGTATGTAGACCGTTAGGTTAGCCCAGGTACAGTATCTTTTGATTTAGAGCAGATACAGTACCTTTTCCGGCATTAATCGACTTTATTGATTATAATCTAAACTATACTTATGGTTTGTGTCAAAACCCATGCGTATAGTTTCTTGCTGAAGAACATTTATTTCAAACATCAGAAAGTTATACTTAAGAAAACAAATTGACGAAATTAATTTTTTTAAGTGTAAAAATTATTTTTTTTCCCATGATGATATTTTCAGAACGCATGATAGACACTATAACATTTGACAGTTGTAAGTGTCATCCTAAACATATTGGCGCCGAATAGTTTTTCAAGTTCTAACAATCCTGATAACAATTGAATCGTTAAAAGCTAGGGGAATTACAGAAATAAATTCCGATGGTTTGTGTCAAAACCCATGCGTATAGTTTCTTGCTGAAGAACATTTATTTCAAACAACAGAAAGGTATACTTAAGAAAACAAATTTACGAAATTAATTTTTTTAGGTGTAAAAATTATTTTTTTTTCCCATGATTGATATTTTCAGAACGCATGATGCTTTTTTATGTTTACCCATTTTCAGCAGTTTTTATAACAATTAATGGGGTAGGGACTGTATTTGATGACGGACCAGAAAGCACCTAAGAAAACTTTGAAAGAAATTCCACCTAGTTGTAATGATATCTGTGAGAACACTGATTATTTTTCAAGTCTACCGGTAAATTATATTATAAGCGATCTAATTTGATTTGCTTCAATTACTTAATTGCCTTTCTTTCAGTATGAAGTATTGGTTCACATTTTTCACTATTTAGATTTAAGGTCACTGTGCAGGTGTTCACAAGTAAATCAAAGATTTTTTGAGGCCTCTGTAGATGCTTCATTGTACAGAGAATTAAGTTTAAAAGTAAATAATTTATGCAGGGGAAGTACATAGAAAGTAAATGTGATTTTGTAGAGGTATTGGCATAAAGTTGATCGTAACACATTGTCTTATTTAATGGCCAGGTGTAAAACACTCAAAAAATTGGACTTGTCTTGGTGTGGAAATGATAATATGATCAGTGAAGAAATTTTTGTTGAGTGAGTGATAAATTAGAACTAAATGTAATTAAGACACGTTCTAATTAATTATAAAATTGAATACAAGGGTTTGCAAACGTGGGCGACGTCAGATGATTGTAACTTTTGTATTCAATGTCGGATTTAAAATTTTATTGCATATTTATTTAGATTTTGCACAACTTTTTACATTAGTCATCGTAGTTTTTAATTTATGAAAAAATTAATAGCAGTCGAAAAAACTGAGTTAGCTTAAGCTTAAGATAATTTTAGGTTTTTGCAAAAATGCGGGTCCTACCTCACTCATCTGTCCCTTGGTAACTGTGATTTTGTAAAAATGACATCTTTAGAACAAATTGGGAAATGCCAAGAGATTACAGGTTCTTCTTTAATATTGAATCATATTTTTTTATTAGTTCAGTAATAATTACATACCCTTATTCCAGATTTACGATTGAGAAACGCTCAGTGCTGTTCTTGGCGATATAACGCCCTTGCTAATTTAAAAAAACTTACAGCACTCGACCTCTACAGTTCAAATATTGTAGACGATCTATTAATAGACATTTTAAAGTCTAATCCTAATTTAAAACATTTAATAATTGGTAAATAATAATAGACCTAATTCTAATCGATGAGAGAATTCCATTGCTTTTGTTCGATTTTATAGATTTTTGTTCTGATTTGGAAAGATTAGATCAAGTTACAAAAGTGGCTTCACAGTACAATAAAAATTTAATTACATGGAGCAGTTGGAAGACCCAGTCATTGACTTCGGTAGGGGTCACTAATTTGGCAAGGTGTAATTTACTTAAAGAACTCGATTTGGGTTGGTGTTTGTTACTAAGTGATCCTGGAGATTGCCTGGAAAGGATAGCACATGGATGTAAAGATTTGAGGAGGTCTGTAAATGTATTTCGCGTCATTGATAATAAATAATAGTTTTATCGCTTTCAAGGTTGATTATATCTGGTTGGAGGGGAATAAATGATCATTTGCTGTTACCAGTGATAAGATCTTGCAAGAATTTAACGCAGCTGGATCTTCTTGGAGTTAAAACGATTTCTAAAGATATTGTCGAAAGGATCCTTGCATCACTTTCAAAATTAGAACTTTTGGAAATCAGTTTCTGCGATTCAATTAATTCGGAACAGGTCTCATTAATTTCATAATCACGCTTGAACAATTTTATGGGTTGTAAGTTAAGAATATTATATTTATTTTACTCATTTTGGTCTTTAGGTGGCTGTGTGGCGTCAGCAGTATCCTCAGGTAACTATCCAACGAAGCTGTGAATACGTTGTGGTTGATTACTGGGATTTGTAATTATTTCAAATTAGCAAATTAATAATTATTACTATTATACATAGATATCCTAAGTATTAAGGAATTATATTATTTGTTCATTGATTAATAAATATTTAAATCCAAATTGAATTGTGCAGCTTATTTATATTTACCCATTTTTAGACTCTATTTGATTCCGGAAAGTTGTTTTCACCATCAGATTCTGCATACCTTTTTGAGTATTTTCTATTATTTTTACTATTACGAATAATACTCTCAGCGGTCGAAAGTTTAGGTGCGCTTTTTTATGTTTACCCATTTTCAGCAGTTTTTATAACAATTAATGGGGTAGGGACTCTATTTGATGACGGACCTGAAACCTGTTATTATCATTAGATTCTGCATACTTTTTTGAGTATCTTCTACTATTTTTATTATTACGAATAATAATTTTAGCAGTCGAAAATTTAGGTGCGCTTTTTTATGTTTACCCATTTTCAGCAGTTTTTATAACAATTAATGGGGTAGGGACTCTATTTGATGACGGACCTGAAACCTGTTATTATCATTAGATTCTGCATACTTTTTTGAGTATTTTCTATTATTTTTACTATTACGAATAATACTCTCAGCGGTCGAAAGTTTAGGTGCGCTTTTTTATGTTTACCCATTTTCAGCAGTTTTTATAACAATTAATGGGGTAGGGACTCTATTTGATGACGGACCTGAAACCTGTTATTATCATTAGATTCTGCATACTTTTTTGAGTATTTTCTACTATTTTTACTGTTACTAATAATAATTTTAGCGGTCGAAAATTAATGTGCGTTTTGTTACGGTGAATGATAATTGTACGTTTGGTATAAGTGCTTTTTTGTATTTTAGTATCATTTAAGTTATTTGTGCTATAGTGTACGCAAATAAATTGTTTATCTCTGAGCGATTCCAGAATATTATTTATCATTTTCAGCAGTTTTTATAACAATTAATGGGGTAGGGACTCTATTTGATGACGGACCAGAAAGCTGTTATTACCATTAGATTCTGCATACTTTCTTGAGTATTTTCTACTATTTTTACTGTTACTAATAATAACTTTAGCGGTCGAAAATTTAGGTGCGCTTTTTTACGGTGAATGATAATTGTACGTTTGGTATAAGTGCTTTTTTGTATTTTAGTATCATTTAAGTTATTTGTGCTATAGTGTACGCAAATAAATTGTTTATCTCTGAGCGATTCCAGAATATTATTTATATGTATGAAACCTAACAAATACTTCTAGTTTATTTTAAAATTCGTCGTATTTTAAGTTTCGATAAGGGAAGGGGCTGTTTTTTATATTTCGGTTAGGGAACGCAATGCTTATAAAAGTTCGCTTTTTTGTAAACCAATTCATCCTGTAATACTTTCTCTCTTCTTCTTTATAACGTTTATTATTCGAGCAAATGCTTTTGTTTCTAATGCGAAAAACAGTTGAGACTTTCCAGCTAACATCATAGTTTATGTTGCTCTTCTGTGGACAATCTGTTTCTTTTTAGACTTTCTAAAGTTGAAAACTAACAGCAAAGTGAAAAAGAGGGACACAAAGCAAAGCAACACACCGTATTGTGATGGTTAGTCGTGGTATGTAATAATACTTTGTGATAAATTGTACAGGATCGTTTATGAGTAAAGTTACGGTATTGGTAGGCTTTGAATCTCCCTCAGCAGCACTTTCATCTCCTTAAGATCTCGAGGATCAGCTGGAGCCGTACGTGAGTCGACCCTATGGCACTTCTTCATCGTTATTAATGTGAAGGTTTTCGAAGCGTCTTCCTTTTCTATCTTGTGTTCCCTTTCCTTTTCTAGGCAAGTGTCTTGTCAGACAAGATTAAGATCCCTCATCGTTCGCAACCGTACACTCTTTCCTTTTAAAACACTATTATGTGTCCTTTAATAACGAAAACAAAAGTTTCTTATATTTTTCCAGTAGGTATTCCTACCACTTAGCATTTATTTGTTTAATAAATAGGCTTTGTATTTATTTAATACGAAACGCACTGCACACAATTATTTATATATTAAAATTTGATTATTTATATATACCACTGCTTCGTCCTTTCATTCGTACACTGTCCATTATCGACTATATCACGTTGGTTGGTAATGGTCGCTTACTTAATGCTGTCCAGCAACGTTTTTGAATATTTCCGAAAACTTCCCGTAAGTTCCTTTTGTTTTTCAGTTTTCGTTCGTTTTATGTGTTTTGGCCGCGGCTCTGACTCTCGGGACGGCACGAAAGGTGGCGCTCGCCGCGTCGTATCGATCACTAGCGGCATTCGTTTAACTAAATATAATGAATTTTAATATTAGATTCTAGCGCCGTGGATAGCATATCGTATCAAATGTAGATACAATAAGGGGAGGTTTAGATTGTTCATCTAACATAATGTCATAGCTAACACGATGTTCACGTTTACAGATTGGCATACTTAGATTTTTGGACGATATAACAGTATCGAGTTTTCGCGAAATACAAAAATTTGCTGATAATAGGAAGAGATAGATTTGAAGAACTCCCGATGATGATGTTGTAGCAGGAGGGTCGATATTTTTGGTTATTTGATAATAATGAAAAGCAGAAACTATGATAAAACTGTGGACTAACGTCTGCCTACCATTGTCTGTTATGAGCAGTTGTTTTTTTTGTTGAATGAATGTATGTAGGCACTTGTATGTATAAGTGTGTTGTATAAGGATTGAGTTTTTATTCTAGTAAGTTTCATAGGGATGGTTAAGTTGAAAAGCCGTGGGGTTTGAGGGAAGACTTCTTAATAGCGTTTTCCCGTCCAACTCTGGCAACTTAATAATCTTGCACGTAAGCTCTTGGAATCATAAGTAGAAATGTCTGGTATTGTTTAGAGAAAGTTTGGTGTCCCAGGGCTTCCACCAGCGTAGGTAAGCCCTCTCTTATTACACAAAACGCCCTCTGGAGACGGTTACAGTTAATTATCTCGGCTTTAAGACGTTGTCACTTTGAAATTTCCCTTCGTTTTCAACAGATAACGACCTGACTTGTACGCAAAAACAATACTAGTGTTAATATTCACTTGCGACTAGTAACATTAGGTATACAGGGTGTGACAGAAATAAGTACTGAGTCTGCAGGGGGTGATAGGGTAGGTAGGTAGTATAAAATATGAAAATTAAGTAATTCCGGCCCTGGTAAATCAGTACAACAACGAAAAATCGCGTTCAAATAGTAGGGAACGTTGGCTTCTCTCATATGACAGTGTGGAGAATTTAAAAAAAAAAAAAAAAAGCTTGTTGCATCCTTATCATTTGCAGCGAGCCTTACTTGAAACTGATTTTCAGGTGCGAGTTAATTTTTGTCAGTGGTTTCGACAGAGAAGTGCTTCATTATGTGTAGTATTAAATTGTTTATGTTTATCTTAGACGTTTTTTGATAATCGGCAATGTTTACAATCTCGATCCATGCAGCTGCAGATTTTCTATTGTACTACGCTATTCAGCAGATTTCTATGTTGCCAATTCACGCACAGAACCGGCTTGGTAAGCCCCGGATATGTTTGGTACTTCCCCAGTCGTATTAGCTGGAAAGTGGTTTTGTTATCTGCGTTCTGCAAATCTTGAATAGTATAGAAAGTCAAATTCTTAAGCAATCACCTCTGACAATCGTTTCTGAATGTTTATTTTTCGATTTAAAACAAAAATTAATTCATTTTGCAGTGCCCTCTAGTGTATCCATAAACAACAATTGTATTACAATGAAAATGACATACTGTTGTTGTTGTTAATTTCACTTTAAAAATGTTTTATTTGAATTCGAACTGAAAAAATACTATCATCATAAGATTCTACTTACTTCCTGCTTATTTCTTATAGGATGAAGTTTCCGAATAATTATTTTACCATATATTATCACCTTAATGTGTAGGTTTGTTATTCAACAATAAAAGTTGTTATTACCACAATATTCGACGTATTTGTTTTCTATGCTTTAATGGTTTTGGAATAATTTTGTTAAGATCATTACGAAAACGTGACAGAATGTAGATGAAAATCCACAGTGCCATTTTTGGTACCTACATCATAAATTTGGATGTCTGCTGTTTTTTTTTTGTTACTCAAAATTTTTTAAGGATACTAAAGTAACAAACACTTAAGGGAATGCGGCCTCGTAAATATTATTTACTGCAAATTGCATTTCTTTGCTATCACCCTCTCCCCTTAGTATGCAGGTTTTCTGCTAAAAATATGTCCCATGCTCGTACACTTATATAAAATTCACGAACCGTCAACCTCAAGAATTTTAACCGTTAAAAACTAGGGGAATTACCGAAATTTATTGAGATCGCTTGTGTCAACACCCATATGTATAGTTTTGTGTTGCAGAACTTTTATTTCAAACAACAGAAAGAAATACTTAAGTTCTAACAATCCTGATAACAATTGAATCGTTAAAAGCTAGGGGAATTACAGAAATAAATTGCGATGGTTTGTGTCAAAACCCATGCGTATAGTTTCTTGCTGAAGAACATTTATTTCAAACAACAGAAAGGTATACTTAAGAAAACAAATTTACGAAATTAATTTTTTTAGGTGTAAAAATTATTTTTTTTTCCCATGATGATATTTTCAGAACGCATGATCGACACTATAACATTTGACAGTTGTACGTGTCATCCTAAACATATTGGCGCCGAATAGTTTTTCAAATTCTAACAATCCTGATAACAATTGAATCGTTAAAAAGTAGAAGAATTACAGAAATAATTGCGATGGTTTGTATGAAAACCCATGCGTATAGTTTCGTGCTGCAGAACTTTTATTTGAAAAAACAAAAAGAAATACTTAAAACGACAAATTTACGAAATTATTTTTTCTAGGTTTAAAAATAATTGTTTGTTTTGTCTAAAATATAATTTTATTGAAGAACATTTCGTATGCTGATATTTTTAGAACGCATGATAGGCAGTATAAGATTTGACAGTTGTGCGTGTCATCCTAAACATATTGGCGCCGAATACTTTTTCAAATGTTAGCAATCGTGATAACAATTGAACTCGTTTTAACAATGTTTCTAGTTGTC